TTTTCAACTTGGTTTCATCCCCCTTGTCTCTTTCAGGTACCCCAATCAGTTGTAGGTTCAGTCTTTTTACATCATCCCATATTCTTGGATGTTTTGTGTCAGGCCTCTGAGCCCAAGCCAAACCGTCACATCCCCTGTGACTTGCATGTATACGCCCAGATGGCCTGAAATAACTGAAGAATCACAAATGAAGTGCAAATGCCCTGCCTCGCCTTAACTGATGACATTTCACCACAAAAGAAGTGAAAATGGCTGGTCCTTGCCTTAAGTGATAATATTATCTTGTGAAATTCCTTTTCCTGGCTCATCCTGGCTCAAAAAGCTCCCCCAATGAGCACCTGGTGACCCCTACTCCTGCCCGCCAGAGAACAACCCCTCTTTGACTGTAATTTTCCTTTACCTACCCAAATCCTATAAAACGGCCCCACCCTTATCTCCCTTCGCTGACTCTCTTTTCAGACTCAGCCCGCCTGCACCCAGGTGATTAAAAAGCTTTATTGATCACACAAAGCCTGTTTGGTGGTCTCTTCACACGGACGCACATGACATTTTGTTCATTCTTTTTTATTCTTTTTTGCTCTATTCTTGTCTGCTGGTCCTATTTCAGAAAGATAGTCTTCAAGCTCTGAGATTCTTTCCTCCACTTGGTCTATTCTGCTGTTGATATTTGTGATTGCATTGTGAAGTTCTTGTGTTTTTCAGCTTCATCAGGTCAGTTATATTCCTTTTTCACCTATTCTGGCTATCTGGCTATCAGCTCCAGTATTGTTTTATTATGATTCTTAGCTTCTTTGCATTGGGTTACAACATACTCCTTTAGCTCAACAAAGTTCGTTGTTACCCACCTTCTGAAGCATACTTCTGTCAGTTCAGCCATGTCAGTCTCAGTCCAGTTCTGTGCCCTTGCTGGGGAGGTCTTATGGTCATTTGCAGGAGAAAAGGCACTCTGGCTTTTTGAGTTTTCGGCATTTTTGCATTAATTCTTTCTCATCTTTGTGGGCTTATCTACCTTTAATCTTTGAGGTTGTTGACTTTGAGGTTTTTGTGGGGTCTTTTTTGTTGATGTTGTTGTTTCTTTGTTTTTCTTTGTTTTCCTGACTGTTTCTTTGTTTTTCTCTTAACAGTCAGGCCACTTGACTGCTGCAGTTTGCTGGAGATCTGCTCCCGACCCCAGTTGCCTCACTTTTTCCTGTATCTGGAGGTATCACTAGTGAAGGCTACGAAACAGCAAAGATGGCAGCCAGCTTCTTCCTCTGGAAGCTTCATCTCAGGTGGTTTCTGATCTGTTGCCAGCCCTCATACACCTGTAGGAGGTGGCTAGAGACCCCCACTGGGAGGTTTCACCCAGTCAGGAGGAACGGGATTAGGGACCCACCCAAAGAAGTAGTCTGGCTGCTTTTTGTAGAGCAGGTGTGCTGCACTGGGAGTCGGGGTGAGCAGGGCCCTTATAGGCTGGACCACCTGTATTCTCCACAGCTGGCAGGCTGGAGCATCTGAGTCCACTGAACCATCAAGATGGTGGTTGTCCCTCTTCAAGGCAACCCGTCCCAGGAGATATTAAAGCTCTATCCGTAGAGCCCTGGTTGGAGTGACTGAAGCCCCTGCAGGGAGGACCCACCCATGAGGAATGGATTGGGGTCCCACTTAAAGAAGCAGTCTGGCTGCAATTTGGCAAGGCAGCTGTGCTACATTGTGGGGGACCCTTCCTTGTGTGGTCCATCTGTATTATCCACAGCTGGCAGGCTGGAATGGCTGAGTCAACTGAACTGCAGAGATGATGGCTTCCCCTCCCTCCAGGAGCTCTGTCCCAGGGAGATATCAGAGTTCTGTTCATAAAACAGTTGCTGGAGGGGCTTAAGGAGGTCCTCTCCAGTGAGGAGGAGTGACTTGGGGTCCCACTTACAGAAGCAGTCTGGCAGCTTTTTGGTAGGGCAGGTGTGGTGCATTGTAGCAGAGGGAACCCTTCCTAGTTCTGACCGTCTGTATTCGGCACAGCCAGGAGACTGCAGCAGCTGAGTCAACTGAACCACAGAGATGGTGGCTGCCCCTCCCCCTTGGGAACTCAAACCTGTCTCAGGCAAACTCCCACCCGCTGCCATTGGCTGTCTGGGATTCCAAGCTGGTGGTCTTAACTTGTGGGGCATCATGTAAGTGGGGCCTGAAGAATGGCATTGCTTGGCTCCCTGGATTCAGCCCCCTTCCTAGAGATGGATTTCCTGCCTTGCTGGTGATTGTGGCCGGAGTATGTAAAACTTCTGGGCCTCTTTGTATGTGCCTGAGTGGCTGCTCTGCCAAGACAACACACAACTCTGTGTATCAGACTCAAGGCTCTGGTGGTGTGGACTCATGAGGGGGTCTCTTGATCCACAGGTTGCAAAGATTCATGGGAGATGCATGGTTTCCTGGGTTGCACAATCACTCACCACTTCCCTTGGCTTAGGGTGGAGGTGTCTTTGACTCTGTGCTGCTCCAGGGTGGGCTCCCCACCCTGCCCAACTTTTCTTCATTTTCCATGGGCCAGTGGTTTTCCTAGTCAGTCCCAATGCGAGAACCTGGATATTTCAGTTGAAGATACTGAATTCACTTGCCCCTTTTCATTCCTCTCTGTGAGTGCTGCGGGCAGAGGCTTCTAATTGACCATAATGGATTGATCTTCCCACAGTGAAGTGTTTTAAGAAGGAAGAACACGTGGTATCGTGGAAAATCAGCATAGCATTGTGGCTCAGAAATAGACTCTGCAGCCAGGCAGGTAGCTTGGTTTGGAATTCTGGTCCTGCAACTTACCGGTAACCTCTCTGTGCCTTAGTTTCCTCACAGTTTAAATAGGGATAAAATAATATCTACTTTATAGGTCTATTTGCGAGGTTTTAAAATTCTTGGAATACTACCTGGCTCATTATACATGCTACAGAAGTGCTTATTCAATTAAATAAATAAAATCATCTTTGGTAAGATAACTCTGAACATTGTATGGTTTAGTAGAGGATGCTGACAAGAATAAATAATTAAAACATATTATGAAGTAAGCATAAAAGGTAGTGGTAATGCAAAGATGAGAATGAACTCTGCTTCCTGTGATTTGTGTGAGCAGACAAATGTCACTGTACTCAGAAGCTTAAAGCCTAGTGAGGGAAGCTGACATGAATGAAAACCAATGGGAAAAAATGTTAGAGTAGAGGTATAAGCAAGAGTGATTAATTTCAACTTGAAAGCAAATGGGGGAGGTTTCACAGAGAGGGGCCCAGCATATTGGTTGATTGCTTGGGCTCCAGAATCAGGCCAGCTCAGTTTAATGCTGACTTTGTACCTTACTGGTTTTCTGACTTGACATCTCTAATCCTCCATCTCCTTATCTGTAAAGTGGGGATAAATAATAATGATCATAATTTGTAGCTCATAGGACAAATAAGAATTCACAGTTAATGCATTGAAAATCTTAGCACAAGGCACTCAATAAATGTGAAGCTTTTATTATTATTACGAGTTGAAACTTGAGTGGGAAAGAACTTTGTTGGCATTAAACATGAGAAAAGGCCCAGAAGTTGAAAAGCATTTGACATAACGAACAGCAAGTCAGCGCCACTTAAACTGTAGTCACCACCGCCAGTCAATGAACAGCTTTTTACTGGTCCATGAACAGGTAAGTATAGAAATTGTGAGTAAACATTTAGAAATAAAAAAAACAACAGCCAAAAATTAAAAAACTAATTTTATGCTTTTTGGGATACTCGTTGTACACTTGTAATAAAAACTGTGCTTGTAGTTTTTGTCTCTTATCTGCTAGCTGGTTTTGAATTGTGTTTTACAGAAATAATGGTCCATGTCAGATTGGAAATAATAAAAACTTTTCCTTTACCGTTGATGGTTGGAGAAAAAAGTAATTCAGTGGGGTTTGATATGGCATCCGAGAGATAATTCTGGAAAGGTGGGTCAGGGCCATGTTTATGAGGACCCTCCAATGCCTCACAGAGTTCACCCTTTTTTCGGTGGGCAACAGGGCTAGTAAGGTTTAGAGGGATTGTTAACCGAAGGTGAGTGGACTTTCCACATCTTGTGTTTTTTGTTTTTGTTTTTTCCCCCAGCGAGCATGTGCTTTTTCTTTCTTTTCTTTTTAAATTAAAAGTTCTGTTTTGTTTTTTTAGTTAAGAGGAGAGACTGGAACTGCTCAGTGTTTCACAAAGATAACTGTTTGTATTTGATAAGAGTTTCCTTAAACAAAGGAATTTGCACTTATCAAAACATAAAGCATTGAAAACAATGAGCACATACTCTGTGACCAGAATGCGTGTGACTTGTTGAGATAAGCCATACCAGGTAATCAGATGAGTCTCCTTTCTTCTTGGGCACCCTCATATAATTAAGGCACAAGCGAAAGAGAAAAGACTCTTTCTGATCTCTCAGTTCGGGTCATCTCTTCTGCCTTCCATCATCACCGCCTAACAATCCTACACCTGGCAGGATGGGAAAACGGTTTAATAATCGCTTCCCTCTGGGAGGCGTTTGACAGCTCAGAAAGCATGGCCTTTACTCAGGCTCAGAGAAACACAAAAACCTTTCACGTTTTCCTTTCAGCTTCGCAGCCCGGTCCTTCTCTACCTGCACGGGCACCCATCGAAGCACAGGACCCTTCTGCCAAGCCATGCGCCTTCTCAGGCCCCTGCCGCCCGCCTTGCCTGAGGCTGTGCTTCTGAAAAGCACGCGGCCCTGGCCTGCGCACCACCCAGTCTGAGGGAGACGCCCCTGCACGAAGGAGTCAGGCCTAGGGGCTCCGGACCCAGGGCGACACTCAATTTTCTAACAGAAGCCACAGCCCAGAAGCTAAGCAGCCTTCCGGCCGATCTGTGTCCCTAAGGTCGCTCTCGGAGGGCGAGTGAGACCCCCCGAGGCGTTCCGGAGGTGGTGCCCGGCCCCCGAGTCAGGTCTTTGCCCCGCCTCTCGGTCCGCGGCCTGGCCGGCAGGCAGGGCTGCAGTCACGGGGCGGCGCGGAGGGCCCCAGCCTGGTCAGGGGTGTGGCCGCCGCCACCGTAAGGCTAGGCCGCGAGCCCGGTCCTGGGAGCCGCCTCCGTCGCCGCCGTAGGAGCCGCCCCATCAGGTGCGTTTGCAGCCGACCTGGCAGTGCCCGCGGGCGGCTGGACCGAGGCCTTGGCTCCTACCCGTGGCGGTCGGGCGGGCTGAGGCTGGAGCAGGCCAGGGGCGGGGGCAGACGGGGACGGACTTCCAACATCGCTCATTCGGGGGAGTGACGGGAGGACCTGGCTGGGGAGCGGCGGGTTGGCAGCCTGTGGCTGCCCCTTCGTGACACTGGAGGCTCCGAGCCTAGAAATGGGGAAGCTGTGACGTGGGGGTGGTGGAGGATGCTGCGGGACAGCAGCGAGCACGGCCCTCAGCCGTCCTTCCCAAGACGGTTTTACTTCCCGTCAGCAACAGGGCTCAGCCCCAAGCCGCCCCCTTCATCCCCCATCTGCAAACATTCCTGGTCCCCCTGAGCCTCCAGTATGCTTTATGCAGTTCTTTTGGGGTTCCTTTCGCATTTTACCGTGTACTTTCGCTTTTGATGCGTCTAGTTTCTGCTACTAGACTCTCCTAGAATCTAAGTTCCATGAGGGCAAAGTCCCATCTGACTTAGGACTCAGAGCTACTCGATAAGTAATTGGATGAGTACCTATGCCGTAGAACTGAGTGAATTAACAAATGAGTAAGTCAGTGAGTGCATATGAGATTGAACTGAATGAATCAGTGCATGAGTGAAAATAAAGATATATGAAGTGGAAGCAGTGAAGATGCAGGCTTACAACTCGTAGGTTTTGATAGCTTTCCAAAAAGTTGTGTAAATGTTGCACTTTTGCAAATGGAGGCATTCTGATTGGGACCACTTAAAAAGAGTTCTATTCTATGCTGTTAAAATAATCTCCAGAAACGCCCCCTGGTATTTCCATTTTTGGTGGACTTGGCTTTATGTGTTTGCTTACAACAAAATATGCCTAGGTTTTTTCTTGCTTGTGTTTTGTTCACTTCTACTTTGGACGTTTAAAGAATCATTGTCCCTATAATATTTCATTCATTTCTTAAAGATAAGGGTGACTGTAAAGGCAGAACCATATGACTCTGACTTGTTCGTAAAACCAGGCGTTTCTTTTGAATTCAGAGTTATTAAGAATCTTGTCTGTTTTCCTGAGACAGGTGCTGGCTGATTTGCAGGTGACTGAAGAAGGCTACACAGGGCCCAGAGAGACATTTATCTGTTTGTAAACACATAGGCTTAGCACATAGCTTTAATACAGTTGGCCACTGCAGCAGTTCTTAGTTTCCAGGCCCAGGTTCCAGAAGAGCCGGATGACCTTGGACTTGCCACTTGATCTCTTTAGGTTTTAATTTCTTAATCTCCAAAATGAAGGTGTTTAGCTAGGGACCCTTCCTGAGTTAAACCTTTGGGATTCTTTTTTATCAGGGTTAGAAGGTGAAATTACCAATGATTTCCTGGAGTTCTGCTTACTTCACCTCCTCTGTTTGAGATTCCATAGCATTTTGTCTCTGCTGTCTTCTCTGCTATTTACAACTCATTTCCTTTCTTCTCCACATCTGCAATAAGAAAGCCTGGGAGCTCAAGATAAGTATAATAAATCCTAGGCTGGTGGGGAGAAAGGAGGGCAAGATTTTCTTCTACATTGTCACAGGCTCCTGGTCCTGGGTCTGACTTGTTTCCAGTGCAACCTAGTCTGACAATGCTATATATTCCCAGTGTATCCGGGGAACTGCATCCCTATTTCTTTGCATGCATTTGAGATTAGTTATCATGGATCACATTTTGGAGCTGGAAGGACCTTGGAGATTTTTTAAAGGCACTTCAAAAGTCATTATACATACGTATTTAAATATTTTTGCATGCTACATTTAACAAACACAAAGTTCCAAATGTGTTGAGTAAAATGAAATTAATGTTACCTACTTCAGTTAATTCAAGTTGATAAGGAGAAGTGGAATACACGTGTTGCTTGGTGAAAAGGGCCAACCCAAAGAGCCAGTTATGAGGTCGTGTGTCATACAGGCATGGAATGTTACAAAGCTGATATTTATGGGGCACTGACCATACACCAGGCACTGTTATATTTAATCTTTTTACTTATATTGCCCCATTTAATCGTTACTATATACCTAAGAGCTAGATACTATGGTAATTCCTATTTGACCTTCTTAACTAGAAACAGCACTTGGAAAATGGGAGAGTTAGGACTTAGAACTCAAGCAGATGGAAACAGGGTTTCTCCCAGAAACAAGACAATCTTGCCAGGAAAGACTGTGTGACTTTGAAGAATGTGGTCTCTGTGTGTATTCAAGCATATATACAAACCCTGCGTTATTTGGGTAACTGAATTTAGAATGAGAGTACAGGGTGAAATGATTAAGACTGAATTATAAGGGAGTTGGTTGTTTTATCATTTTGAAAATTATTGAATTCCATTGAGATTCTAGGAGACTCTGATACTTTGACCTAGGTGCCCATGCATCTTAATTTTAAACTTATTCAGACTTACCAATTTAGGGAATATAAAATGAGTGGCATCAAGAGTTGTCATCAGTGAATGGCACTTAAGGGCTTTGAACCATGAGTGCCAAGCAGTGTTGTTTCTTGGACTAGCTTTGTGCCCTTGGTAGGACACTGCCTTCCAACCTCCTTCTTTATAAGACCAACAATCCCTAGTATAGACAAAGAACAATGCCTACATCTGTGTAATCCAGAGGCAAGAATGCAGGATGGGTTTCCAGAACTCTTATAATTAATTGATGAGAGGAAAAGAGAGGCCCATAAAATAAGTGGGAAATTATTTTGTTTCTTTTTTGTCAGCCAAGTTTAGCCCCATGGAAAGCAGAGACCAGTTGTGGCCGCCTGAAAAACTAAGAGCTGATGCCAGTTTGATTTAGCTCAGGAGGCTGAAACTTTCTGCCCCGAAGGCTGGTGTGATGGAATAGACCTTCCCATTGCTCACAATATTATGAAAAAAACATTAAAGCAACAATTTTTATTACTTGCCCTGAAGCTAGAGCTTTAAAATGTACTTTCTCCTCCTACCCTCCCTAAACCACTTAACTTTTAAAAACAAACAACCCATTCATGTGTTTGTTATAGTCACATTATTAGTTCTTTCTCTTTATTCCTGGGCCCTTTTCTTTAATGCAGTGAAGTGTCTGGAGGGGTGTACCTCTGGATCTCTGGAATTTTCCTTTAGTTATTTTATTCAGAACATATTAATTTCAATAACCGTTTATTGAGTGTGTACTATGTGCCGGATAAAGATGAATGAGAACAAATTTAAATAGAAGAGTGACCCATCTGCAAACAATTGCACGACAGGGTAATGTGGAAGTAGTGGTCACTCACTCTTCCAGGAAAGAGGTGTGATTGGAGCTTAGGAAGACTTTGCAGAGAAGGTGAATTTCAAACTGTGTTTCAAAGCCTGAAGACCAAGCAGAGGGAGAAGGGTATTCCAAGAATGGAGAACAACAAGAGCAAGGAAAAGGATGCAAGTATGAACATGGCATTCTTCGGGAGATGGGACTTCAGTATGGCTGTGGTAGGGAGGTCTGGTAAGGCTAGGGCCAGACATTGATGGTCCTTGAATGTCATGTTATTTAAACTTTATCACAGTCTAGATAATCCTTTTCAGCATTATTTTTGTTTTGTTTTGTTTTGAGACAAGGCCTCTCTCTGTCACCCAGGCTGGAGTGCCATGGCAAGATCTCAGCTCACTGCAACTTTCGCTTCCTGGTTCGAGTGATTCTCCTGCCTCCGCCTCCCAAATAGCTGGAACTACAGGCGCATGCCACTACAGCCTGGCTAATTTTTGTATTTTTAGTAGAGACGGGGCTTTGCCATGTGGGCCAGGTTGATCTCGACCTTCTGGCTGCAAGCTATCTGCCTGCCTTGGCCTCCCACAGTGTAGGGATTACAGGCATGAGCCACTGTACCTGGCTGTTTTCAGCATATTTAAGCTGAATTTTAAGCAGAAGAGTGATATGATTGGATTTTCTTTAGAAAATAGTTACAGTAATGTTTCAGAAGAACTGGGGAATGCAGAGCCAGAAGGCCACAGGAAAATGAAGATGCTATTGCCATAGTTCTCATGAAATAGGATAAGGATCTAAACTAAGATAGGTTTGAGAGGCTTTTTGAAAACAGCAGGATTAATGACTAGCTGGATATGGGAAATACGTTTAAAAATAATCTGAGGTTTTGGAATTGCTTAACTGGGTGAGTGGAGATGCCACTAATGAGGGTAAGAAATGTAAGGTGAGGAAGAAGTTTCGGGAGAAAGACGGTGAGTGAGCGGAGGTAGCTGTGGAACATCCAGGTGGAGATCCCAGGATATAGCCTTTTCTGTAGCTGTGCTGTGATGTCACACAGTCAAGACCTCAGCCAAACATTACAATAGGGTCTCGGTCTAAAAAGACACATCAGTTTAATAACTCACTTAAAAAATACATCATACTTATCTAATGACCATTACATTATATTTCAGGCAAGTTCTTAGAGAACTCTGATTCTTGTGTAAGTGCCAGTAAAGGAAAGAAGATTGGAGACTCAAACAATGGGGGGTTATTATAAGCTGCCAGAAGAAACTGAAAAAGAGAAATACAGACCAGAGTGGTTCAAAGGAACAAAGATAAGGAAATGGCAGGAGTGTTGCAGAGAGCAGTGGTTTCCAAAGACACAGGTATAGGCAGATATGAAATACAGAAAAGAAATTTGAGCTGGCGCTTCCAAATAATTGTACTTCTTTAATGGTAAGATATCACAAGCTTTGATTTCTCATCTTATTCAGTTTGTCAGGAAGAGACAAACAGGAGATTGTTCAGAGGTGTGGGTGCTGGGCAGAGGGCTTGATCTCATTTTGCAGAGAAAGTGTTTGGAGACTTTGAACTAAGCAAAGAGTAACAGGGAAAGTAAGATAAAAATGAAAAGGATAATGATTTGGAGAAATTTTCCAGAAAATTTAAGTAATTCTATGACAAACCGGTGTTAACAAAGAAAAAGGCAGATCAATGCAGTGTTCTCTTGATGCAGTGGTATTAGACTTCCTTGGAGAAAATATTCGC